CTGCATCGCAATACAGGCAAACAAAAGAATTCGATATGATACACAAGAACGATATATCGTTGCAGCCCTACTACTCTTTACTGAAGTGTTAATTTCTTGTGAAATACATACACGTTTTCAACCGGCGCGGAATGCTAATCCAGACATATAATCAATATCACAGTTATACAAAGTTGTATTTATCTATATGAGTCAATTATGATATGTGTTTTTATAATACTCAATAACGATCAGGGGAACTTCATTAAAGCTGTAATAGCTATAAAAGGTATCGATAATTGTAAGTAAGGACATCCTGTAATTAATAACAGAGGAATAAAGTGCTGATACACACCGAAGTAAAAGAGGTTCAACGAATGACCACTCCACTTGTTACAATAAACCCATTGATACAGTGGCAACGTTTCAGACAAAGTTGAGGAGCCCAGAACATATATTATCACGCACTAAGGATAATGCGAAAGCCTTGTACGTTAATGCAGGATAAGACATATTAAATTACCCCGGATTCAAAGTAGTCTTTATGCTAGGTAATGGTCTGTAGGAGACAAAGCCCCCGGCTAATAGTTCCGGGTGACATGAATACACACTGCTGATACGTAGAGTAACGAGAAATTTAAGAATCAATTATCCCGGTTTATAACACGCCGGCTGTTTCGACCGTTTCCGCAGATATTGCTGACAAGATGACTTACGCCAGATAGATGACGGTAGAACAGGTACGAGCCTATATCGTTAGCAATTATTACACCAGTTGTATCCTCATTTATGGAATGAAGTCGAGCCTACTAAATGTATCGGAGCCCTGGTTTCTCGAAGCTGTCTGGCCAATGGATACTCTTCAACTTATATTTTTGCATTGGTAAGTATCACTTATGTGACGAAAAACGCACCAACTTACAGTAAAAGGTATCAAAATATCTAAAAACATTGCTACCTATTATAATCACTATTCTTAAATAGTTGTACAAACTCGTTTTAACTAAAGGTAACCATATCAGAAGCATATTGCGATGTATTTAACAGTAAAATAGTTGTTCGAAATTTGATATTTGTAAAAAAAAAGAAACCCCAATAAATTGAGTTAACGAGTCAGGACTTTTACATTGCAAATCATACATTAAACAATAATGCTAGTAAAGGAATTATACGGACTCTATTAATGGCTGGAAGTTTTAGTATTTTATCAACCCAAGTACTGGACTTATCATTAGCTGGAGGTTTTTAGTATTTTATTAACCCATGTACTGGACCTATCACTAGCTGGAAGTTTTAGTATTTTATTATTCCATGTACTGGACTTTATCAATAGCTGGAGGTTTTCAGTATTACATCATAATAAATACATGACTCTCTCAATGGCCGGAGATTCTGTCTGTTTCATCACATCCGTTACTGGACCTTGTCAATAGCCGGATGTTTCAACAGTTTCATAACATCTTTAACTGGAGTCCATTCGAGGTTTGTTGACTTTCCTCTATCTGCCGCTTATGTATCTACTTCAGAGGCATACAGTTACAAGGGCGACGAATGGCAAATTGTAACGTAACATTCAATATTTACACAAATCTTGAAAGCTAAATGCCAGGCAAGCACGGAAGCCGTTTTGTTGATTCCTGCTACAGAATTGCTACCGAGACACGCTGACCTCGATTCCAGGCCTTCATGGATTTCCACAGCTAAGAGCATGTCACCAATACATGCTATACATAATATATATTAAGCATTGCAAGTATTTAGAGCAACATTTATATAATTGGGGATCGGATAAAAAGTTTTCAATATTTGCCAAAGAGCATTGAAGCTACTGAAGAAGATCAAATGAATTAGTTATAATAGGCGTATAAATTACGTAAGATTTCATTTTATTTTATTATAGATATCGCAAAAACGCTATTGGCCAATTAAGAAAAAAGTGACAATTCTGTCTAGATACAAATATACACTTAACTTAAATTGAACTCTTATGCGAATTGATACTGCATTTCGCTATTTAGAAACAAAAAATAATCATAGAATAAATAAATGAAGTCCACAAAAGTCTTAACTTATTATTTCATACTCTATTGTGCCATGACGTCAAGATAAAAAGCTTAAGTTTATGTTTATCACACAGAAAACAGCAGCGTTATTTTGCCTGTCATTTTTCCGTTCACACAACAGACGATGCGTGAGATCTTTATAAATTGTATACATGTATATATTGACCGTACTGAAAAATGCAGCTGAGAAAAGCAATTTCTTCAACAGTTATCCCAGCCACGCCGGCGTCATAACGTCAGTGTCTCCCTATAGGAGCACTTAGTGAGAAAGCTACGGGAAACAAAGTGTTTATTCCAAAGAACAATATGATCGTTATAACTAAATGCGTAATGATTATGTAGTGTTAATCATTTGAGATCATAAACAGAGAAGCTTCTCATCCAGTTTCGGCGTTGTAGTGACGAGAACACCATATGATTGGTTTAAGAAGTGATGTATTTTGTCAATTAATAAAACGTTGCGCTCCCATGATACATTACGAGGACATTCAAATACAATCAAGTGTGATGGCTGAAGGCAATACAACGGTCTTAGTCGTTATTTTAATAAAAATCGGCTTTATTCACAATAAAACCTTTCCGTCTGAGTACACTTAAAATGCATATGGCTTTTGATGCAAAAAAATCGTGCACACATTTTGACAAAAAATGGCCTTTTTCGTATGGCGTAAGTGCTCGCCAGACGATTTTAGTTTAATAATTTCTGGCATAGGAAATATGAAACCTGATAAATTAACATTGATGTCCGTAAGGATTATAAGGGATTGGCCATAAACGTTCTTTTTCAGTCCTAGAAGAAATTATATTGCTTAAACGAGAAGATATACGTCATATCTTGAAGAATCAGCCCGACAGGGCCGACATATAAGAAATATCTGTGCAGACAGAGCCAGTAAAACCACTTTAAAACGTAATGACTAATAACACGTCTAAGCAGAGGCAGCTAGAAGGCTTAAGCAACAGAAGTGTAAAACCATTTTAACGTACACAGAGACAGAACCTCTAATAGACAATGCCAAAACATTTCCTTACGCTGTCCCCACATCCCCGAACTTATGACGATGTCAATACATTTAACCGTCTATACATCACAGACTTCTGACAATGTCAGTATGTTTTCTGCAATCGTTTACTATTCACAGAACTTATGAAAATATCAAAACATTTCGATGAACAATCCACATACAATAACAACGTCCTAACATCAAAAAACTGAAAACGTTAAAATATTTCCGAATTATTAATATATTTTCGTCAACCGCCCATTATTACAAAAATTTCTGATTTGCTATTACATTTAGTTCAACCAACCGGTATCAAAGACATTAGATAACATCATTAGATTTTCTGCAGCCATTCATACATCACAGCAATAGTGACAATGCGATTCATTTTTTCACCTTTGTCTATCAAAGATCTCATGTTGTTTTCTAACACCGTCCACACATGTTCACTACATAGCTTATAACTTGCCAATGTCAGTAACTCGCTGCACCCGTCCGTAATCACAGAACAATACCGAAACGTTTCTTCACACGTCTACACATTACAGAACTTCTGACAATGTCAGTTCATTTCCTTTATCCGTCCATAAGTAACAAAACTTATGACAATGTCATAAAGTTTTCTTCAATCGTCCGTACATTACAAAATTTAGATTTGGTTCGTTAGTGTTTTACGTTCTAGTAACAGCTTTGGTCGTTCGAGGACATGCCAGGTTTTGGTGGTGGATGAAAGCTGAAGTACATGTACCAGGAGAAAGCGACCGTCCCCATGTCACAGAACGTATGACACTATCAAAACATTTCCCTCAACCGATCGTACAACACAGACTATCTTACGAAGTGATACATTTTCTTCAACCGCCCGCCCATTATCCAAGAACTTCTTACAATGCCAAAGAATTTTCTTATAACTCCAACTAACTTCCGACAATGTCAATACATTTCTTTACATCCATACTTAAGCAATAACGCCATTATCAAAGCCGTTTATTGCTTAACAAAGACATTCTTTGAATGTTACAATAACAATATTATTGTGGTCCAATAAATCATTTGCATCATATATATAAGAATTTGACGAATATTATTTACAAAACCTCAAGCCTGATCCTATCAACACGACTATAAACAGAAATAACGTGACTAGACGTATTTCTGCAACCATTGGAGAAAAACTACACAATGACTCATACAATGTTGAAGTGACTTCTTTATCGGATAGGCTATTCTTCTTTAATTAAGACTAGGCATTGATTTGTATGCGAGGATAAACTAAATAATAATAGCTGTTCTATAGTACTGAATTCCATACAGACAAAATTTTTACATATAAAACATTGAAGAAACAAGCTATTCGTGCAGACAGAATGAAAGGTTTTTCGGTAAGTTGGTAAGTAACGTTTCAGTATTAATGTTGGAATGAATTTGTGAAAATTGAAAAAAAAGGTATGTCGGTAAGTAACATTGCAAACAGTAAAAACTAATGCAGGAATGAATGTGTGGAAATTGAAAATAAAAAGGAAAGTAAGAACGTGATGATGGTGATTTGCAAGAGTGTTAGCTTAATAATTTAAAAACACTCAAATGGTTGTGCATCATTTCCTACTTTAAATTTGAGCATGCGTCGTTTCGGAGCTTTCATAAGGAAAATTGAAAGATAATATTTACAAGTAATATTCACAGAATATTTTTGTACTCACACCGAATATATCAATTTCCCCTTGTTTACAATTTACTCTGCGATAAACCTTTTCGAGACGGTCTACCTAAGCAGTTTCTTTGTTTTCTTCCTTTTGCTATAAATCTTGGAACATTAGACGAACTAATATGTGTGACACCGAGTGTTTGTAATATCTATCTAAAAAAATAGGAATTGAAATGAAGTGAATTAGAATACATAAAGTTATATATGATATATAAATAAAATGTCAAAAAAGATTTGAGAATAACATACCTGGTTGTAATGTTTATACTCCCGAACGGCCTTCCGTCACGTTCCGTATCTATTCAAACACAGAAACGTACTACTTGCAAAATCACTGAAACACTCGCTTATATGTATGTGAACGCTTATCAACAGCGTGACCACGTTTCAGTCAATCGAGCTAATTATCAATACTTTGACTGACTCAGATGCTCGTCCAATCACCTTCGCTCGTGTTTGCGCTTGGAGTCCATCGAGAGTGGGAACGTGCGTGGTTGCTCGCGCCTCAAGATCGATAATAAGCTATTGTCTCGTGTCATCAGTCTGTCAATCACAGAAGTACGTTATACATTACTAAACTTTACTGTTAAACCTTATTTCCTTTGTAAATCTGACGTTTGAAAACTAAATATAAATCTACAATTCAATTCTTACATAAGAACACTCGCAATGTCGTCATGTTATCTAACGAGATTTTTTTTATTGAAATTAAAACCGAAGTCTCTGCTGCCAATATCTTAGCAACAGATATGACGCTCTTCATGTATACAGCATTAGTTTAACCGATATGAAATCCTTTTCTGTACAATGCTTTGTCAATAAGCTCCGTCTTCATACTACTTAACATAGGTAAGACCTTTTTGTACTCTGCTTTTCATAAGGTATATGTTTTTTTGTACTCCGTTCAATGTTCATATACTTTAGCTCTTTCTCTACTCTCCGATATCTCAATAAGCGTTTTCTGAACTTTGTTATATGTCCATAAGCCCTTGGTACTACTCCAGGTCCGTAAACCAATTTTATAAAGCTCTAAGCCAGGAAGTTTCTTCGCGTATACCAGATTCTTTGTCGACCTTTAGACACATACTTTGTATTGCTGATGTAGTATGCTTGTTGTGATGGAAACCCCTTTATATACAGTTATTAAGATTTTCTGCTAGCTATGTATGGCATAAAACTCTTTCATGATACGGCTTATCGACGGAACTATTATTATACTTTCAGTGTACCGCTTTTCTTCAGAAAGTTCTTTCTGTGAGCTGCTTTTCTTCAGAAAGCCTGTCTGTGTACCGCTTTTCTTCAGAAAGCTTTCTCTGTGTACCGCTTTTCTCTAGAAAGCCTTTTCTATATACCGCTGTATTTCAGAAAGCTTTCTCTGTGTACCGCTTTTCTCTAGAAAGCCTTTTCTATATACCGCTGTATTTCTGTGTAACCCTTTTTTTTAAAAGCCCTTTCTGTGTACCGTTTTACTATAGTTAAAGCACTTTCTGTGTACCGCTTTATTTCTGAAAACCCTTACAGTGTACCATTATACTTCATAAAGCCCTTTCAGTGTACCGTTCTACTTCATAAAGCCCTTACAGTGTACCGTTCTACTTCATAAAGCCCTTACAGTGTACCGTTCTACTTGAGAAAGACCTTTATGTGTACCGCGTTACCTCAGTTAGCCATTTCTGTGTACAGGTTTACGTTAGAAAGCCTTCTCCGTGTACAGTGTTCTACATTACGTCAGTAAATCTAATCCTAAATGTGGACCGTTTCACCTTATCAAATCATTTTCTAGTTCTAGTTTTGGAATTCTAAATTTAATATTATCTAATAAAATGTTTTTCCTTACAATAGTTCGCAGTACAATTGAGTGTAGTGGATTAATCTGAGATTACGACAAAGGACTAATTGCACATCTTTTAACTAAATATGGTCAAGTAAATGCACTGTTAACACATACAGAAATATGCAGTTGCAAAGGTCCTGGTTACGTTTGAGGTTTAACAAAGGATTATAACCTAAACATGTGTTCTTCCAAATGTATTTGCCCAGTAGATCCCCTACTGGGGTCCAGCAGACCTAGCTGTATCAAATGTAGTCGCTTTCCATAAGTCGTACTAGTTCTACTTGTTTTGGTGCCTTACCCTTTTAATGTTCAGTAGAAGGCTTAAAGCCACAGCTAACCTGTTCATCCAACATATTAATGATATAAAGTTCACATCGGATAAACTTTAAAAGATACCCATGGATTCAATTTTAGGTCCCTTATTATTTTCATCATTTATATGTGATTCTTCATGTCCTGTTGTTACACAAGCTTACATGTAGGCTGATGATTCCAGTTATTATTGTGTTTCTTCAGTTTGTGCTATGTTTATCTGTCATTATACAAGATGATACACTTTGCTAGTGGATTTTTCTGCCCTTGGATTACTTAAACTTTGATAGCCACAGTTAACGTTTTTGAGTAGTGAAATGGTTAAAAGTATACACACTTTACAGATTATTTTATCTAAAATAAAACAGTTTTGTGCACATGTCCTTCTATTTCAACAGTAGTCTTGACAATTGATATTTACAACTTTTTGGCCCATTACGTAAACGTGTGTTACGTTCACCGTCCTAAATGTTTTGTAAGGTGATTATACAGAGACTTTCAGGTTATGACCGCAATAATGTTGCATTTGGAATACGCACCCGTGTTACACTGAAGTATATGATGTTTTTCACACTCATGACGGATGCGTCAAACATATAGATATGATAAAGATTAAAATATGGTGGTTTAAGGTTTTCCTACATAATATCGGGATTGTAATATTGTCGTGTGAACTGAGGTGTGGGGTGTAGTCATATGTTTCGAATTAAATCCTTGCGTATTAAAAATATGGATCAAAATATCGTTCTACGTGACGCAAAGTGTAATATGAACCGGGGTAAGTTGGTATAAGGTTGTCTCTAACTGTGTGTACTCTACCCATTGGGAGATTAACAGTTAAGCGTTGATACATTGATTTACTAAACTTTTTTACAACAATTATGAAATAAGTGTTTACTTACATGAATCACCGGGTGAAGGATCGCACGGTGTATAGTTATGGAAGGAAACCGGAGAACCCGGAGTACCGGAAGTAAATTCACGTTGTCTGACAGGTAGCTTGATTTTGTTTCACGGTCCGATCCGAGAGACAAACCCCAGTCGTCTTTGTAAAGATATTGTGTCATCTACAGTTCAACCTGACCACTCAAAGTGGTGAAATGAGAGAACACCAGCCAGAAATTATGTTGAGCTTTCACAGAAAATTACTGTTTATGGTTATTTCCCTCGTGATACTTCACTTTCTGTTTTCATCTTAAATATTTCCTTTTTGTTTTTGTTTTTAAAGTGTAACAAGTATAAGAACTAAAAGGTGTAAGCCAAACATAATCACCAGAGTTGTAAAATTCTTTCAAACACATTTTGAATTATGAAAATTTTGGGAGACTAATATCATTGTGTTACAAATAACGATTAAATCCGCTTACGAATTTGTATTTCTTTTAGGTGATACATTTGATTATTGGCAGCAAAAATACTCAGACAGCGATTTTACATCCCTTTACCAAATTTTGATTTTATTTTAATCTACTTCATTTGTTTTGTATAACGTAATTTGTTTAATTGAGTATATCCCAATCCCTCATAACCTGCTACCCGGGGAGTGAGTGTACAGGCGTGTATCATTGCGACATGTAAACCACTCCTGACTAAATCACACGTCAGTTTTATGAGGGATGTAGAGTAAATTTCTTGGCATAACATGTAACTTACACATTGACACATACGAAACAGACAAGTGGAAGGTGGGCAGAGCTTGTACTGACTTGACCTCCTGGGGAGCCAGACACTTGTTACATCTCTAAAGCCATTACCTTGACCATATAATACTATTTTGATATTGCTCGACTCCTATGCGTTATGAGTGTTGGTAAAGCTGATCACTGATAAATATAAGTATTTATCACAGTATTTCATAGTAAATTAATAAACGCAATAGAGAACCATGAAGTTGAGGGGCGCCGATTTTCAAACAGACGCATTCCGTGGTTCAAGAGTTTAACCAATCAAAGTGACGGAATATATTTACATTCTCAATGTTTCTTCTCTACATGAACCTACCAACTCAAAACAGCATGCACTAGATCATGAAAACATCATGAAAACATCATGAATGACAACCAGTCACATGTAACGGTCAGCTGATTTTACACACAAACTCCACTTGATATTACTACGCATAGTACCGTTTCTGAGAATAGTTATATCCCTTTCTCCGAGATAACGTAGTTGCGAGAAATACTAATAAACATTACAAAAATCATAAATGGTGCACCATTGTACTATCATTAAACCTATTTCTGTTGAGACACAGAAAAGGCTAGAAGGGGCCAACCAATCTGCCGTCACTAAGGGAAATACAATCTGGGAATTGAAAATATTCCAAGATAAATGAATCATGTCAGCTATTAAACAGTTAAATGGATTAAAAAATCAGATTTGGAAATGGTTGAATTTGTCGATCCGTGTAATACGTTCTGTTATACAGAACTGGTATTCTCCCCTTCTCCCCTTACATCCTCCGACAGAACGTATGGTACAACCTGGCTATCCATTTTGTGACCAGGGGACTTGAGTTCCACGAACAGCTGCGAGTTAATTCTTTTGAATTTATTTCAGACGACCTATGCAACAATCAATCATAACACAAAACAAAAACAAAATCAGGGTGGGTTTTCCTCTAGTGAAGCCCCAACAAAACGCATGTATTCCACTGGCTTCAAATGTTGATCAATAAAACCGGATTCGGTCGCTGCAAAACTATTCAACCACTATCTATGCACTCAGACGGTTATCCAGAACACCTACGGGTATCACAAGTGCCTCACACTATCTTGGCTACTCCATCGCGGGACATAATCATAATGTGTAATGGCGACTCGCCATCGGTTCCTCGCGATCGTGGTCACGAATTTTCGAACACCGACACGTCTGGCTGGGTAGTCCCCGTGACATCAACTAGTACATCAGGACTTTGTAATGACACAGGGCACTTCATTCACCAAGTTATCTTCATTTACCTCAGCAGGATTTCAGGCAAATAGCCCATTCCCACGGATTTCATTCAACTTTAAATGAGCACTGCCCACCGCCGACGGGATGCTCGGCCGACGAATGCCCTGGATAGTTACTATGGTGACCGTTGTCTGAAATAGTGCGGACATAAACTTTTACTAAATATGTAATTTGCGGCGTTAAATGCAAAAAACATGAAATAAGATCAACTTTCAAAAATGAAAGGAAATACCAAGCGTTGTTTATTATGAGATT